AGGTGTTGGTTATCACCTTTAAAGCCCTACATGGCATGGGACCGGGTTACCTGAGGGACCCTCTCACCCCCATTATATCCACCCATCCCACCTGGTCAGGCAGAGAAGGTATGCTGCAGACCCTGTTGATGAAAGAATGTCGACTGGCAGGGTCCAGAAAGACAGCCTTCTCTGCTGTGTCCCCTGCCCTATGGAATACTCTTCTCCAGAGGTGAGGCAGTCCCCAACTCTCTTGTCCTTCTGGAAAGCAGTCAAGACTTGGATCTGCCAACTGGCATGGGGTGAAAAAAGGGGCAACCAACCCTGGGGGTGGCCAGCACCTTGAAGATGCTCCCATATGTTAACATCTTGGAAGATATTATTATTTGTGTATGTGTTTGGTTTTATTCCATTTTTACTTCATTTTTATATTATTTGTATTGTATTTTAATTATTTTTTTGTTGTTTTATTGTGAACTGCCCAGAGTCACTTTTCGTGAGATGGGTGGTATCTAAATTTGAAATATATACATATATACATATAAATAAATAAATAAATAAATAAATAAATAAATAATGGCAACTAGGGCACCCGATATTATATTATGTATCTTGATTTGGGTGCCTTGTCTCAGATAGAAAAATGTCTTGTTGTAAGGCAGTTTTCTATATAATTAACTGTGAGGCATTATAGCAACTGAACAACTTATGAATTACAATGAAAGACATGCATCCTATTGCCATAGGACACAGCAAGAGAAAATTATTTAGTTGCATTCCCTTGGACATGATGGTACAATCATGCCATCTCAGTTTTATTGACCATAAACTCTTTGGCAATTTGTAACTAATAATGTAAATTTGATTACGTGTACCTAAAACTACACATTCCTTGATGTCATTTTTCTAAACTGCCAAGGGACACATTGAAAACATTTTTTTTCCAAGAACAAAATTACTTACCATGTTTCTCTATAGTGTTCATATAATGAATCATTATTTTCTGGGTCATTTTGTATAACTGCAGTATGTGAAAGAATAAATGTTTTCATCAAAATAGTGCAAATATCTATATTTGATCTAAATCATTGCAAAATAAGTAATTTCTCACAATAGCTATGAGAAGAATGGTTATACACATTTAAAATTTTAATATATATAAGAATTATTATGGATATTCTGAAAAAGAAGAAGAGCTGATCTGTAAGTTGTGCTTTCACTTTCTTCCCATCGTACAAGGCAGGTGTCACTCCTTTATCAGATAATATATATGAACTATGCAGTAGGTTCACATATAAACTGTACAAATTCTCTTCCAAATTACATTCCTGATTGCTCCTTAGTTTCTGCTTCTCCACATCTGGATAACTTCTAAGGGTGTTCTTGTTCCATATATCCCCATCTATCAGTATATGCTTCTTATACATGTATAAGTATACTAACACATGACTAAAAAATGGATCAATCCTCCTCATTGAGGATTTCCACTACAACTAAAGATAAAAATGCAATTTTGTATGATGCCTAATACTTAACTTTAAATAATTAAATGAATTTTGATAGTTTCCCCATTGTTCAGATGGAAGAATTCAAAAGGCCACTCTTGAAGAAAGAGAACATAAAAAGTAACTACTAGTTATTCTCAATTATATTTTCTGGGCAGTAGTACTACTACTGTATAGTGGAATGTAGTGGAGAAGATTATGGGTTGTGGTTATAGAATGACATGAAATACTTCCATTTAGCTGAGTACAGGATAAAAAATAAACAAAAAATGCATAGTTGGGATAATAAGAAAAATTATAAGTCAGAAATGGGATCTCACTTTTATGAATTCTCCAGAGCCAAGGAGGATAAAGCCTTAATTAGATTCTGCAATGAAGAAATGGATATTGCCTTTATCATCTAACTGTGTTTGCCAAGTAGCTTTGGAAACAGAAGTTTCCACATGGCTACAATTTTAAGAGACAAGCATCAATACCAGATAGGTCCAGAGAGTCTGGCAGGCATCAAATGATTTTTTATAAATAAAAAAAAATGCTAAAGAAAAAAAGCTGACTGAGAGATAGCTTGTATATATTATTTTAAGTAAAAATCTAGTAGTTTATGCATATTAAATCCATTTTCCTTGGGTGGCAAAGAGGGAAGCATATATTAATTGAAATAGAATCTTGTCTTTAGTTTTAGCTATCTACCCAGATGATTGTTAACTGATTTTTTTTGGTAAACAACCTTTTCTCTTTAGAAGTTCATATAACAGTTTTTGATTTAATTTTTATTTTTATTTCACATGCAATACTTATATACTGAATATGAATGTTCCTTAATACCATGTATATTCTGGCCCTCACAAAATATATGAAAAATATATACTGTTCTAGATACAACTTCCTATTTAGAAATAGCTGTATTTTTTAAACAAACCTGTTAAATGTACAACTGAAACACTACCCATATGGTCAGATTTGTAAGTCAAGAGATTTTTGCTCTAATGTTAGGCAAAAATCTGATAAGTACCTCAGGTACTTGATTTTAGATGCCATGATATTGCAGAAAATTATAATTTTTTATTATTACTGCATTTTCACTGGCATTTTCTACCTAAGGTGCCAACATAACTTGATTGGTCCTGGAAGAATGGGGCTCCAACTGCTTTTCAGCCTGTAGCAACAAAATGTCTTGGGTAAGGCATAGTCAAACAATGACATTTTTTAAAAATGAATTTTAACAGGACTGTATGAAGTAACAAGTGCTTTAAAAAAATAGAAAAGTGACACAAAATGGTAACTATTACTAATGCTGATGATTAAATAATAGCCAGGCAATGATTGGGATAAAGAAAATGATACCATATGACATCTAAGGAAGATAAATTCAGTGTTTTTCTTGGAAACATTATGGTCCACTTAGTTGCCAGGTTAATTATAGCAGGAAAAGATGGACAGACAGACAGATGATAGAACATTTTTTTTGCAACATACTGTATATCTAAATTGTGAATGCAGATGTGGCAGGATCATCAAAGACAATGATAACTGAATGCAAGAGTTTGCTTTTTAAAAATTTCCCCACATTCCTCCTATCCCCTTTGGAATGCACACACAAACACACACTTCAATATCTGTTCTAGCATCACCTTCCCCAAACCAATTAGGATCCTGGGAATTGTAGTCCCAACACAGTAGAGTGGAAAATGCTGATCTGGTATGTTTATTCTAGTTTAAGCTGATATATAAATTTTGGAGAGTACTTCGGCAAGTTTGCCAGCTGTCATTCCCCAG